TCCCCTGCGCACGCGCGGGAATTGAATTCTCGGGGACGATAACAACGCATGCTAAACACGCAAAGGCTCATGGGTAGACACTTTGCTTGAGCATATGAATGTTTGGTGGGGAAATATGTGGCAACGATTAATATAGAGTGACAGTAATAATAACAGTTAGGTACTACAGTAAATAATTTCCGGTGCCGTTGATATTATGTCCGACAACGTCATCAACATTGTCGGTTCGTTCGCAGACGGTAACGAATGCAGCTTTTTTCAGGGTTTCGCGGTGTTGCGAAACACACATTTACCCGTCATGCAGTGGTGTGATTGATATATATATATACATATTTGGTCGACGGTTGCAGTGATTGTTTCACGACTGGCTACGAACGAGGCTGCAGGTGGTATGACGTAATCGGACGCTTGATACTGACTGAAACCCACAAGACGACAAACCGATGATTTGATCAACGATTTTTTTCTGAGAAATTATCCTGTGAAAATAACAAGAACGGAACATTGAGCAAAGACTACGGTTATCGTTGTTAGACTGTTTCATTATTCACTTCACCTGCCACCTGCGTTTCAGTACAGTTCTTGTTGGCATGACAATCCGAAAGGTAGATGTTGAACAAGACGACTGATCATAAGTGACACCAACGCCGACGTACAAATTAAACCACACGAAAAGATTGAGTGAATTCAGTATTAATTTATTCAATTCTTCACATTTGACATATTACATGCAAATTAGGGCGCGTGGTAGAGCGCAGACGACAATTCAAGGCAAATACTGAAATCAAATATGTTTTTTTTTTCAAACTGTGACTTTTCGTGGCAATTAATAATAAAAACACACTTAACAGACAAACACATTTTTTCTTTGTGTAAAGAATTGTACACCATATTGTTTGATACAATGTATGGAATACTGTGCATTTCATAAAGACATGAATTGGTTTTATGAACATTTATTAAATATTTATAAAACATTTACCCGGAAAATATTCGTGCTCCATTCAAATGTGAAGGAAACGCTTTTATTGGCTATGTAAGTATGCCAATGAGTTGTTGGCGGGTTTCCTTCAATCAGAGTTTTAAAAACATAAATATTTATATAAAACAAATTTACGCCTTTGTGAAATGCATAGTATTAGCGCGTGTAAATATTGGAAATCCAACTGACCAACAAATTGAATCACAACAAACCAGACCAGAATCAACCTTACCAACAAATTATTGTTGGTAATTTGTAAAATTATGGAATATAAAGTAAACATACAACATTATTCAACAGTTTTTTATAGCAAAAATGACTTGCTATAGTAACTCCCATACAAATACGTGAAAGTTGATGCACGCAGACGAAAGTTATTTCGCAAATCAATTGCATTATTTCGCTTGTGACGTAACAATCGAGTTCACCTCTGAATGTGGCACTCGCAAAAACATACAAAGTTATCAACGCCAGATTGGTTTCATATTTTTTCATCGACTTTTCATTCGTGTTTACTTTGTACTGGCTTGATTTTTTTGTATTCTTTTACCAATTTTAATCAATAATTGAAAGCAATAGACAATTATGACCATTTGGTTTAAAAGTAACAATGATATAATAGTTTTGGCGCAAAAATTGGAGCAAATCTGAGAGATGAAACTTATTAGTATTTGGGGATTATTATTCGACACATTTAACTGAATTTGAGGTAGAGGCTCGAAAGGGTCAAAATTTAACGATGTTGGCAATTCAGTCATAAATATTGATGAAGCGACACCTACGTAAATTGAAATGTGTTTTTTACAACAGACGACATCGAAGCAGCCCAGTAACAAACAAACAAACACGTGTCACATGACACAAATGATGGCCGCGTCATTTATTGCTAAACACGAAATTATTCTAATTAATATTCAAAATATAGATAGCACGTTCACGGTCATGTTCAATGATTTATAGTGTTCCGCTTCTAGAGATGAAGCACGCTTATGATTTTTCAATTTCCCGAAAGACCTCGATGATTTAGTCTATTTTGGGACCGATTACTCACGAACGATATCAAATCTATTCTCACGCATGCGCCGAGCAGTTGCCGACAAGGCGAGGTGGTAACGTGACGGCCACCCGTGATAACAATAACAAATAAAAGAGCAGCAGACAGAATCGATGTTCTAAAAAAATAACACAAACATTCTCACCGTGGCGTCAATCAAATAGCCACAACATAATGCGACGGATGTGACGACAGATATTTGACAAAATTTATGCCCATTCCCGGGCCTCTCTAACATGTGCACGTCCGGTCATGAAGGCAACCAAGACAGCGCTGACGACCACCAGGCCGACGCCTACAAGTTGCACTAAAGTTGGGGTATTCTGAAACAGCAGAACATCGCCAATATACGCCGCCACAATTTCTATGTTTCCTAATAGCACAACAGTAGTGGCCGCTTCATAGTGAAGACTTCGATATCGAAATGCAAAGTACATAACATAAAAACCGATTTTCCCGAATAGCGTTCCAATAACTTCAGCGGTGTTTATTGGTACCATGTGGCGGTTATCTTTGATGAAATTGAGCGCTAAGCTGACAGGTGTTCCGACGAGGCCCGAGTATATGGATATGGTGAAGATACTAACGTCTGTTGTGAACGCACGCGCTAGAACGGCGTTCGTGCAGAGACCAAACGCACAGAGAACAGCGAGGGTATAGCCAACGGAGTCGTTGAATACGTCGATATTGGTGTATGTTTTACCTCGATTGGCCAAGATTGAGGGAAAAGAGATCAGCAGAATCCCGACTAAGCTCAAAACAGTCGATATACCGTGGCGAACTGGTTTCCATGGCTCCCGCAGCACCAGACTCGCCATGAGCGGTGTAAAAACAGGCACTGCGGCACAGTAGATGGCTGTGACGTCACCGACACCTGAAATATACGTCATACTGTAATAATAGGCCAAGTTGGCCAAATTCTCTAGAATTCCCATAGACAAAAGTATAACGCGGTCGACGATACTGCTAGGAAGCAAATTCAATTTCAGGTAACATACAAATGGTAGCGAAACGACTACCATACATATCGACTGTACTAGTAAGATTTGTATCTCTGTTATACCAGACTTCACGGCAAGCAGACTGAAAACACCAGACAGGCCAAGACACATACCACTAGAGAGAGCCAAACTAACGCCGAGGAGTGACTTAATAACACGTGAGAATTTAGTTTGTAACGTCTCTGATGGTCTTTTCCTTTCCTCAACATCGGGTTCCATCGTCTTGAAAAGCCGGTTGAGTTCCTGCGGCTGCTGACGTCCCATCTTGGCGACGCCGTTGACGAACGTTTTAGACATGGTGAGCAAAAACGGCCGATCCACGTCGATGCAATCCTTTAGTGTGCGTGGTGATGAGGAATAGACGAAACGCGAATACTCGGTAAAACTACCAACACGTAAAGTTGTCCGACGCAATTAACATAGCGCTTCTCAAAAGGTGACGAGATGCTAAAGTATCTGTTGAAAGCGACACTATTTTCTCGGATGCGTACGACTGTGTTCTCGAAACCTCGCCTACATATCGTCTAGTGTCGCAACTGGTTGGGAATTGTGTTCTGGCAATATACACGTTCCCTGACCCCTTCGCTAACCCGAATAGCGCACGACACGCCGCATACAAGATTCAGTTATACACGTTCCCCGGCCACATGCACGTTAAAGTGAACAGCTTACTCTCTCAGCCAAATCGAATTATGTTTCGCTCGATAGAAGTAGTGATTCGGTGATATCCGATGACAGACGATGACAGATTGCTCGCTTTCCGTCGAACGTAGAATAGAACTCCTTTCTCTGTCAGATCAATAGCTGCCAACGTGGACGTCACAGTCAAAGCTAATTAGTGTCATTAATTCGATATAAAATATTAGTTGTGAATAGGTTTGCCCCCAAGTCGCAACTGTCAGATTCTAACTACGTGTTTCAGTTCGACGTAATGACAAGGCTACGAACAATGTGCGCTATTATTTTCAAGTATACAATACAGTGAGGGCCCTTTAACAAAAAACTTGCACACAAACTGCGACTAGCGATACGATGATAAGTCCACGTGTCTGCTGTATTGATGTGTATTCTCGCTATCCTCCAATAGTAGTGCCGTGCATGGATGAATTGCGTTCCAGGTAATAATTACAGCGTGGTTTCTATCAACACACTTGTATCTCTTACACGGCGTATATCTCAAACGGCGTATACGTTTGCACTGATACGAGAGATCGTAGGAGTCAATGCAAAGCTACTTACACGATTGTTCCTGATTGGCTACCCAGCTTTAGCATCTAACAGCCAGACCAATCAGAAGGCTGCTTATATATTTTCGTATCAAGTTCTGCCTTAATATATCCTTCGACTCAGCTATGTTTTAGTAGCCAGTACCAACGCTTGACAAGTCCGTGTGTAACACCACACACGCTGCACTGCTGCGAACACAGACGTATAGTTTCTTGAGTTGACGGTTGAAAGTGACGTCACCGGATATTACACCATACAATACCTATTCGTCGATTACAATTGTCTTGTTAAAGCACTCAGCACTAATGACGCGTCATTTAATTTTCATTACACGGCCAATTAGTCACGCGTCCTGCGTAGGATCAACCACAGATCCACACACTGACTCGTTGCTGGTGATAAAACAGCCACGCGCACTTCACACGCACTTTACCAGGGACATATCTGAAAAAAAAATACCAATCGCATTATCACTCACACAATAAATCAAAAGCATATCCTATTAACGACAGATTTCAAATTGATTTTTTTGTCAGGATTTTTTTTTTGGCGAAGAAAGTTCGATGCTTACTCATCAATTTTATCAGATGAAGAAATACACGTCGGTGTCGATATCATTTAGGATAAAACATTGCTTATATGAAGAGGGCTTTATTTGAACGTTTCTGACTGACGATTGATTGTTTTTATTAATGAATAATGTAATCTTATTGATGCGTTTGCGCAGACTCCATGACCTTATCGCACAGATTAACCTTTTACGTTATTGTCTTTTACTCATTACTTTTCATGATACTACCCCGCCACATATCGGAAATATTGACCCTTACGAGGATCATGACGTCATCTCGCCTGGCATTCAGAACACATTGTTTCTTATCATCACTAACATGACATCAATTCTATGCCGTTATATTTACTTGACACCCCTTGAATTTTCTAATTGATTTCAGACATTTAAGTCGAAGATATCGTTGTTTTGACCGAGATTTCACTCAATTATCAGGCACCGTTGCCATATCGCTAACTAAGACTCTGAGTTGTCAATGCAATCAACAGTGTACCACAGCCGTTTATCTCAAACTGAAGGGGGGGGGGGGTGCGGAGCGTGTTCACTAACAAGGATGCAACTTCATGTTGATATGCAGGTATCTTAAAATCAAGCGACGGCAGGGTGTTGTTATTGTAAAGCCGACGTCTCGTTTATGAAATGCAATCAGAGATGATCGGCGGTCTTTTCCTCTCGTTTCACGTATCTAAAAGGAACCAGGCATAATAAGACTGATCACTGGTATTACTTTCATGATGTAGAGGAAACATTCAAGTTTCATTGCATTTTAGAATTACAGACTGAGATCTTTCTTATTACTTTACTGAAGTCTGGGTAGTATTACGTGACGCGTTTAATAACCTGTGAACACACGCGCATGCACCAGTGGCGTGAATATTTGATAATGCATCGGTACTCGCACTTTGTTCCGATTTATTTCGGCTATATTCGGAATAGTTGTCATGTTAGACAGTACCGTTCAAAGGCGTAAACAAACATGGAAAGATGGTCGTTAAAATTTGAGCCAAGTGATCGTTAACATTCGGGCCAAGTGATCGTTAACATTCGGGCCAAGTGATCGACAATATTCGGGCTAAGTGATCGTCAACGTTTGTAACCACTGAAAATCATCGGAGTTTGAACAATTTATACCTGAAAATTGAGACATTAAATACTTCACATAGCCCCTCCCCGCATAAATCAGTAGATATAAATGCAACTTTAGCACACCTACTAGTACTGCGAGTATAGTATATTCAGTCACGTGTTTCTAGGTTCGAAACAAATTATTCATTTTCTCCGCTCTGCAATTTTATCTTTGGCTGTTGTTTGTTTACTTCTGATAAAAGATTGCTTGCTGTTTTCTTACACACGTGATATTCAGTCCGATTACGTCAACAATTCGCAGGCTCGTTCAAGACGGCTGGTTCACGACGCGCGCAGTCACCACATCGTACATACAAACAAATGAGCAAATTACAGAATGTTGGTGTTTATAATCAACTGGCCACGAACGAGGCTGCGTGTGGTATGACGTAACCAATGTCTACCTAAATAACCAATTCCTGTCCCAATTTGCTTCCACGAATCATTACACTTTAAATAACTTTTTCATACGGTTGGTTGCTGACGCTGCATCTGTATAACGGCGTGCATGACCGAAACACTACGCGCATATTTTATTATAGCTTTCAACCACGGGATTGGCTATTCATAAGCCCACCATTTTGCTTACCACAGTTCGTAGCTACCAGTGTAATAAAAAAACTGTCCCCTAATATCAATCAACTAGTAACACACTTTTACTGAGCAGATAAATATTTAAAGGACAGCGAAGAAAACTGTCGACTGAATCGGTAGTTGAGCAAAGAAGACCGAACACGCACCAGTGATCGTACATAAACGAGCCCACTGAAGTAAACGAACAATCGTATTGGAACGTATATAACAAACTAAAAACACGTGTACTGTATCACATAGATCACGTGAGAACAAACACCTCCAGGCCGGTAAACATGCATATAGTACGGCCCATTGTTCTATATATACGTGATTGATGCATAAACTTGAGAGAGCCCAGCTATTTTTAGATCACCAAGGGGAATATTGGCTTCGTATCTAATAGCTTTCTGTTCGGTGAACCTATTTGCACTTACCATAACATCACCTTTGTAATTGGATGACGGAAGAGGGGAGAGAAGTGACCTCTCGAAATGAACAAATTTTAACACGTGTTAGAATATAGGATTGTTATGTGACGTCATTTAGTGGACGCGTTATTTAGTTGTCCATTAAATTATACAGTATTTATCCCATGCGAGTCAATGCCATGGTAACGAGTCGCCAAAATTCAGCATTACACTAAACGCAGTATGTTCAAACAAATTGTAATATTTGATAATAAGAATAAGTGCATATTCATTTTGGATCACGTGACCCGAGGTTTGCAGTATAGTCATACAACTTACACAACGTGAAATTCGAACGTGTGGTGCGTGACGATTTAACTATTTCCAACCAAATTTCCTCTTTCCTTTTTGTGCTTAATTTGAGATATTGTATTTTTTCACTGCAAGTTCCATTATAGAAACCAATAAACGCAATTATATCAATATTTCGCCACCCAAATTCCATTTATGAAAAAGCTGAGAACGCTTATATGTACACAGTGTATGCTTACATACACACAGTGAATGCTTACATAAACACAGTGAATGATTACATGTACACTGGGAATTCTTACATGTACACAGTGAATGCTTACATATACACAGTGAATGCTTACATGTACACAGTGAATACTTACATGTACACAGTGAATGCTTACATATACACAGCAAATGCTTACATATACACAGTGAATACTTAGATGTACACAGTGAAAGATGACATGTACACAGTGAATGCTTACATGTGCACATAAAATGCTTACGTGTACACATTGAATGCTTACATGTACACAGTAAATGTTTCATGTACACAGGGAATTCTTAAATGTACACTGGGAATTCTTACATGTACACTGGGAATGCTAACATATACACAGTGAATGCTTACATGTACACAGTGAATGCTTACATGTACGACGGGAATTCTTACATGTACACTGGGAATGCTAACATATACACAGTGAATGTTTACATGTACACAGTGAATGCTTACATATACAGTGAATGTTTACATGTAAACTGATAATGCTTACATGTATACAGTGAATAGTTACCTGTACACATTGAATGTTTATATATACACAGTGAGTGCTTACCTGTACACAGTGAATGCTTACATATACACAGTGAATACTTACATGTACACAGTGAATGCTTACATGTACACAGTGAAAGCTTACATGTACACAGCAAATGCTTACATATACACAGTGAATACTTAGATGTACACAGTGAATGCTTACATGTACACAGTGAATGCTTACATGTACACAGTGAATGCTTACATATACACAGTGAAAGCTTACATGTACACAGCAAATTCTTACATATACACAGTGAATACTTAGATG